GGCATGCAGGATGATGGTGGCGTGAATCAGTTTTATATGTTAGCGTAACTCGTTGGCATCCAGGTTCTATAGGCCTACTGTGTTATGAGGCTGGGACGCCATCATGTGGCGAGTTCTTTTACTAGCATGCGCGCGTACAGATTAATAATAATAATAATAATAATAATAATAATAATAATATTTATAACAATGATGATGATGAGGATGATGATGATGATGATGATGATGATGATGATGATGATAAAAATAATAATGATGACGATGATGATAATGTGACAATATTATCGATTCGTGTTTATTATAATCGCCGTTAATTCGCCAGTAAATCTGTTGATCGATAAATTCAATTAAAACGGCAGAACATATTAATGCATACAGGCATAGTTTTAATAAGAAACAACGAAAATATTTTATTTTACACAAAAATATTCCTATTATTGACTAATTATTTCACTTTACAACAAAAACATTTGGCATACACATGTACAGAAAGCTGGCAATTTATGTTTAGCCGGAGTTTATTAGAATGGACGACTAGGCATGAGGTTGTGCGTGGTTGTACAGCACGCCATGCCCAGGGGGATCCAGAGGGTTTTGGGTAACCAGTTTCCATAGTTCTAGTCTCAGCTAGGGGGCTCCGGGCATGCCTCCCCCCGGGAAATCTTTAAAAATTAGGCTATATTTGGTGAATTCTGGTGAATTCTGAGGGTCAATTCTGAAAGATACCCCAGCCGTTACCGGTTCTGGAAACCGGTGCAAACCGGCCTAAATCCACGCCTGATGCCCCTATATTTAACACTCAACACAAAACTTTAGGTTTGCTAACACAATTAAACCTAACCTAGGTTTAATTTTAAACCACAAACCCCCACGTTAGCTAACACTGAACATAGCCATTAATAAAACAATAACAACCACATTCAAAGTGAAATTAAAATAAAATAAATGTATCACAAGCCGGTCACGACATAATACGAGACTATCCCATCTATATTTACCAGCAAGTCCTGTACTCTATGGACATTCACATAACAGTTGACTAACATATTTATTTGAACAGTGAACGCGTTAACTTTTTCAACGTTTTATAAATAAAAAAACCAACAACAACCAAGTAACACTCACCACCTGAAGACTGATAGCAAATTCATTACAATACAACTGCCCGAATAAAATTACTCAACATTTCACGCGTTGCAGTTTCAATAGAAGCAATACCTAGCCAAAGTTACACGCATACAGCTTGCCAGTTCAGTAATGTAGGCCTACGGTGGTGTTAGTAGGGCTATCGATTCATCACGACAATGTTATGAGACAAGGTTAGGTAAGATTCGTCTCACGACCATGCAGGTTATTAGAACAGTGTTAAAATTAAAGTTAGGGGTATCAGGAGTGATAATAATAATAGATAATATAATATATATAATATATATATTATATATCATATAATATATATATAATATATATATAATATATATAATATATATATAATATATATATAATATATATATATATATATATATAATATTAATATAATATATATATATATATATATATATATAATAATCGCTAATCTATTATTATTCACTCTTGATATTATTATGGGTAGCCTCTGTCTGAATTTATTGAATTATAGAGTACTCGTGATTCTAGCCTGACATGAACATGTTTTAGCCCGACTTCTGGAACCCCATCGTAGTAACGTCGCAAAAAACGGAAGTGGTCGTGACGATAATATTCGATGAAGCAGCTCATTGACGTGGCGACATCTAGGCGCAACTGCTTTCAGCACTCTCGGCGTTCCGCGCGCGCAAAGCGAGCGAGCGAGCGAGCACGGCAATAATATTACATGCATTCATACAGCAGAGACATGAAAGGCGCTCTCGCACAAGCGGTTTTGTGTCGCCGCCCGCGCCATCGACCAGAATCTGCCAGTATAGAACCAACAGCGAGACGCAAGCTTTCCCGCAAAGCTAATTCTGCCGTCTTAGTGCGGCGTCGTCACGCAGCCAGGACCCATCTTGATACACACATCACTCGCGCGAAGGCAATCTCACAGCGACAACGATTGAGATGTAATAGCGAAACGTTGTATAAACGAATGACGACGACGACGACGACGACGACGACGACAACGATGACGACGACGATGACGACGACGACAACGACGATGACGACAACGATGACGACGATGACGACGACGACGACGACGACAACGATGACGACGACGACAACGACGACGACAACGACGACGACGACGACGACGAACACGAGAAAAATCTTTTACGAAAATTATGTATGCACGAGCGAAGTGTGCACTTAACGGCAAAATGTTTTTGCGGTGATGGTTTGAAGCTCTCAGTTTTACACGGCGGCGACGGTGCTTACACATGTTTAATAGTCTCATATTCTCCCTCCTCAATTATCTCAGAGAAAGTGTTAAGTTTATTCTCGCGAGTTTTTCACTTGTGTGTATCTCATCGTTTCGTCAGAGTTCTGCGAGAGTTAAGGAGTAAGTAGTGAAGTTATGAAGTAGGTAGTAAATTATTCGACGTCAGATCGACAGAATGCCGAACTGACAGCGACTGCCTGTGTGGGTCGTGAGGGTGGGAGCGGGAGCTGGGTTTACACTACCGACTTTATGTTGGCGAATCAATTGGCGAGTTGGACCATTTTCGCAATTCGGCAACTCCGAGTTGGCGAAAATAGAACATGTTCTAATTTCCCAACTAGTTGCTATCGATCGGTTGGTCGCACAACTTTTGCGTTTACACTGCCGATTGTCGGTTGTATAATTGATACGTTGGTCCAATTCGCCAATTCGCCAACACAAAGTCGGTAGTGTAAACCCAGCTTAAGAAATCAAGCAATGAATTTTATAACAACGACGCACTCGCCCACGGGACGATTCGACACGAAAAACCTTTTCAGGCTCTTCAAACGCTGGCTATTCCCAATGCCATGGCAACGCGATATTGGTTTTAAAGCCGGACGCCAGAAACCATTTGCACCCGCCGTGAAGCGATCCTCGGCGGTTGTCTCTAGCAGCCGCTATGCTGACAGTATCCGCGTATTGTGTTACTCCATTAACCATCTCGCCCGCCGAGCTACACGATGCTATTATACGATATCGCTCTTTCACTTTCTGTTCGCCGCCTATTTACCTTGCGTCGCTTCCCTTCCCGGTCACCGACGCCTCGCTTTGCGTTCGTTGGCCGGTAAAGCTAGCTCGACAATCTCAATATTGACAGCGTCGTATACGTCCTATAGCTATCCGTTGCACACGCGTACATGCCTGAACAAATGAAAGGCGTGTTCGCCCGTGTTGTGAGTGCGTACGTGCGTGCGTGCGAACGGATGAGCGAGCTTGAGTGCCCATGTGCGCGTGTGTACGAGAGGGTGGAAGCGTTGTATAACGGAGATTGACGACTATAACAATGATGATGATGATGATGATGATGATGATGATGATGATGATGATGATAAGAATAATAATGATGACGATGATGATAATTCCGACAATATTATCGATTCGTGTTTATTATAATCGCCGTTAATTAGCCAGTAAACTGTTGATCGATAATTCTAATTAAAACGGCAGAAAATATTAATGCATACAGGCATAGTTTGTAATAAGAACAACGAAATATTTTTATTTTACACAAAAATATTCTCTATTATTGACTAATTATTTTCACGTTACAACAAAACATTTGGCATACACATGTACAGAAGCTGGCAATTTATCTTTCGCCGGAGTTTATTAGAATGGACCGACTAGGCATGAGGTTATGCGTGGTTGTACAGCACGCCATGCCCAGGGGCGGATCCAGAGGGTTTGGGTAACCAGTTTCCATAGTTCTAGTCTTAGCTAGGGGGGTCCGGGGGCATGCCCCCCCGGGAATCTTTACAAAATTAGGCTATATTTGGTGCATTCTGGTGAATTTTGAGGGTCAATTCTGAAAGATACCCAGCCTGTGACCGGTTTCTGGAAACCGGTGCAAACCGGCCTAAATCCGCGCCTGATGCCCCTATATTTAACACTCAACACAAACTTTAGGTTGCTAAACACAATTAAACCTAACCTAGGTTTAATTTTAACCACAACCCCCACGTTAGCCTTAACACTGAACATAGCCCATTAATAAAACAATAACAACCACATTCAAAGTGAAATTAAAATAAAATAAATGTATCACAAGCCGGTCACATATATACGAGACTATCCCATCTATATTTACCAGCAAGTCCTGTACTCTATGGACATTCACATAACAGTTGACTAACATATTTATTTGAACAGTGAACGCGTTAACTTTTCAACGTTTTATAATAAAAAAAACCAACAACAACCAAGTAACACTCACCACCTGAAGACTGATATAGCAAATTCATTAGCAAAATTCAATAGCAAATTCATTACAATACGACCGCCCGAATAAAATCACCAACATTTCACGCGTTGCAGTTTCAATAGAAGCGATACCTAGCCAAAGTTACACGCATACAGCTTGCCAGTTCAGTAATGTAAGCCTACGGTGGTGTAGTAGGGCTATCGATTCATCACGACAATGTTATGAGACAAGGTTAGGTTAGATTAGTCTCACGACCAGGTTATTAGAGGCAGTGTTAAAATTAGGGTTAGGGATATTATCAGGAGTGAATAATAATAATAGATAATATAATATATAATATATATATAATATATATATATATAATAATCGCTAATCTATTATTATTCACTCTTGATATTATTATGGATAGCCTCTGTCTGAATTTATTGAATTATAGATACTCGTGATTCTAGCCTGACATGAACATGTTTTAGCCCGACTTCTGGAACCCATCGTTGTAACGTCGCAAAAAACGGAAGTGGTGTGACGATAATATTCGATGAAGCAGCTCATTGACGTGGCGACATCTAGCGGCAGACTCTTTCAGCACTCTCGGCGTCCGCGCGAGCGAGCGAGCGAGCGAGCAAGGCAAATATATACATGCATTCATACAGCAGAGACATGAAAGGCGCTCTCGCAACAAGCGGTTTTTGTGCGCCGCCGCGCCATCGACCAGAATCTGCCAGTAGAACCAACAGCGGAGACGCAAGCTTTCCCGCAAAGCTAATTCTGCCGTCTTAGTGCGCGTCTGCACGCAGCAGGACGCCATCTTGATACACACATCACTCGCGCGAAGCAATCTCACAGCGACAACGATTGAGATGTAATAGCGAAACGAATGTCAATACACGATCAGCAGAGCAGGTCGGTCGGAGCACGAGTTCATCTGTGAGGGCATGCAGTCTGTACTCCCCTAGCAGTCCACACATGTCGGCACTCGGTGTTGGCAGGACGTGGACAGTGTATACGTCTCCCCCTCCTCCTCCTCCTCCTCCTCCTCCTCCTTCTCCTCTTCCTCCTCCTGCTGCTGCTGGTGCTACGTACATTTTAAAGATGGCTGCAAGGGCAAGCTTTTCCGGACAATTACTGGTAGATATCAGTGGTAGATGTCTGATGTTATGTTATCAGGAGTGTCTAATATAGATTATATATTATAATCTTATATTAGATTATATATTATAATCTTATATTAGATTATATATTATAATCTTATATTAGATTATATATTATAATCTTATATTAGATTATATATTATAATCTTAGATTAGATTATATATTATAATCTTATATTAGATGATATATTATACACTCCTGATGTTATAATGTTAGATACTGAATGTCTAGTGGCACAATCAAGCTACTTGTATTGAGGTCGATGTATAGATGACGAGAGTATTGACGCGTATCGGTGATTGACAAGTGGCTCGGGCCAATCATTGTTTCGAATGGGCGTTCTAGAAACATTGCGTAGTAGCGAAGTGCAGCGATGTCGACATGTTTGGGTACACACGCTTTAAAAACACACGTATAAGAAATGGTGTAGCTTGACCTACCTAGCAACTATTTCTGGGGGTTTATCTGTGTGTTTCTATCGCTGTGGTGATCTCGTTTAGGTCTCGTCTGTCGATCTAGCGCGTATTGTTCAGTAGACAAGCATTAATCATTCGCCGTTAATTAAACAAGTCAAATAAAATCGACCCGGCAAATGATAAAATAAAAATTAATTAACCGCGTTGACAAATAGACACGATGGGGTTCAAGGGAGCTGTTTCGGTACTTACATGCACCGGGATCTAACCCGCCGCGGGGTGAAGCGTGCAGCGTTCGCCCCAACCTCGCGTCACTCTCCGCCGTCGCTTGCCGCCGGCTGCCGCCTGCCGCAGCTCGAAGCTCCTGCAACGCGCATGCGTGCGTGCGACCAAGTGATTACGATAATACACCACGCTGATTATGAAAATTGTGCTACTATGCATGATTGCAAATTGAACGCGTACTTACAGCTGTGCCATAATAATAAGTTATATATATATATATATATATAATATTATCATGGTAACGCGTATATTGCATTGTAATTACATATCATCATTTAACTGGTTACATTCTGTTCTTGTGAAGCCTGACGAAAAGACATATGTGCTTGAAAGATGTTGAAATAAAAAAGCGACACGTTTTTCCAATTTTTATAGCCCCAGCCAAATATCACACAAAATTAGTGACATTTTGGGACGGGTTGTTTTTAGGATTGTAGACTTGGGATAAACCCTAGCCAGGATGAATTATATTACCAAAGCTACGAGAAACCACGACAAAATGACGCGTTTCAGACAACGGCTCAGACATATAATCTTGATATAACGTTAGGAGTAGGATCGATGACATATGACTAATAATCGTTGTCAGAACGGCCCCTAGATGGCAGGGGACTGTATATGCACTCATCGTTGGCCTGCATCTGGCGCGAACCGTAAGGTACTAAACTGAAAGTAATTCACACGTAAACTGTTGCCACATTTTTCAAACATTGGCGAAATGTTCGGCCGGGAAAAGTTTATTAATTCGACTAATACTGCAACATGGTTTCAGCATTTTACCGTTGTACGCTCTCCTTCTTTATACGCTCTTGATACTATCATCTTATCATCCTATATTATCTTACTCCTGCTACTAGTACTACTACTACTACTACTAGTACTACTACTACTCTACTCTAGTCTAATCACTAGTATT